ATATAACGTAACATATTCACAGGTTCTAGGGGTTAGGACATGGACATCTTTGGGGGTAGAGCATTATTCTGTACACCACATGATGAATGTAAGAGTGTTTTGCAAATTTTAGTGCACTCTTCTAGAATTTACTGAGCATTAACAATGTGCCAGGCACTGTACAAGTTGCTAACCTCCTTTGAGTTTTCTCTGCTGCAAATAAGTACTTGTCTTCACTTCAAAAGCTTTTTTATCCCTGGCAGTAAATCTCACACTTCCTTTCACAAGCAGTACTGGGCTACTTAGAGTTCTTGAAATCTATCAAGGTTTTTCAAATTTGTGTGGCTTGAAACATGTTTGTCTTTCCTAGATTGTCACTCTCTGGCGTCTTCTGTTTAATCAGGAAAGCCTGCCCCCGTCCTCTTTTTCCTCCCTCCAAACCCCTAACCTTGTGATTCTTATTGCAGATTCTGGTGTCTCCATTAGGACGCTTTGCACACTGCTAACAATGTTTCAACACTGCTAACAATGTTTCCACACTGTGCTATAATCTCTGGTTTATTGTACAACATCTCCATTAGACCAGTAAAGTACATGAAAGTAAGGATTGAGTTTTTATTTTCTTTATATCCTCAGTGCCTAGTACAATTTCAGGAGCAAGCTTGGCACTCAATATTTTGCTGAATATATGAACAGCCCCTTAATCCTAAAGATTTGCATTCAACTTCTCCTGTTCTTTTGTTTCTGCTTCAGGGATTCTGCTCATTTATCCAACTATCTGCTCTGTGCATAGGACTAAAATATCACATGTTACCACCTTCCCAAGTTTTTGGTGTTTGCTAGAGAGACCTTCATTCTCATGGAATTTGTCATATAATTTCAGACTCACTGTATGCAAAATATAATTTAAAAAATTTTCCTGCCAATTAAGCCCTGTTTAAAATTTAGGTTAACTATGTCTCTACCTTCTATTAGCTCAAAACTTTCTTGTTGCCTTTCTCTTTCTCAAATCACAAATTCAATCTGTTGCCAAGGCTCATGAATTGCCCTCTCACAAATTCCCTGTTTTATTTCCTCTGGAGTTTCAAGACTTCACCAGAAATTAGAAACGTGTATTCATAAAAAATCTGCTTATTTGATATTTTAGATCACTTACCGAGATAAAATAATTGTGTACAGAATGTATAATGAGACTTGCAGAAGATACTGTCTTTGCAAAATAATTTTTTGCTGCTTTTTCAATTTTTTCTTGCTACTACTTCAAACACAAGCAAAATAATATCCGTTTCATAGTTTTATTATTTGTTATACTACAATCACAGTTATATTGTTTGATTCTATACCTTTGTCTTGAAGGAAATCAAAATATTTTACCCTAAAATAGATTTCTTTGACATCTTTTGAAATGGCTGCCACATGGCCAGCAGACTGAAGTGGTCCTGCAAAGCTCTCTTTTGCAGGGGGGAAATCTGCCTTAGTAGAGAATCTTCGTTAATGCAGCCAGATTTTTCTCTCTAGGCCTTTCCTGGATGTAGGGGGGATTAACTAAGAGTCTGACACCTTTAAAAGTCTGAAAGAAACCATTTACCATCTGTGTTCTCTGAAGGCTGCTACCTATGAGGCTTCATCTACATAACAAGGCCATCTTCACTAGCCAAGCCTTTTCCTTTCTTCCTTCCATAACCTGTCTTGCCACTAACACCTGTTTTTGGCGATGCTCTGAGTCAGCATTCTTTCTGTAACTTCAGGAGGGTATACAAGCTTCTGTACTTCAGTAAGGAGTTTGGTCTTCATTCTGAAGGCTCTCATGCATGTTACTAAATTTGTACACCTTTTCTCTTTTCAGTCAACTTACCTCATGGCAGTGATTTTTAGTGAACTGTTAGGGGGCCAAGGGCCTTGGCCTCCACAACGTAGAATACCGAGATGTAACTATGGAATATGTGGGTGGTAATAGAGGATATATATCTTTATGTCACTTTGGGTTTAGAGAAAGTGAAATTAGAAAGAACAATCTCAGATTTTTGTTTTTCTGAAAATAACCCAAAATACTTGACAATAGTTCACAGGAGGAAATTATATGAAATACATATTGTAACATGGAGAAAATAATCTACTATTTCTTCCTGTCTTACTCAGGGTTAAGGAATTTTCATTTTTAAAGTAATTGTTTGTTTCTGCATAACTAATAGCTTAAGGAAAATATTTCTCCTATTTTAACAAAGAATGTAAGAAAATTCCCTTATAACTCAGACCTAGCTCGGGTGACTTACAAATACAGTATGCATACATTTGACAAAATTACCACTTCCTGTCTTAGTACCAGAAGAAGCAAGATAGCCAGCCAGCCAGCCTTGTTGGGAGATGAAAAAGAAGGAAATGGGACAAACTCCTAGGTATTAGACAAGCCCTCCCACAGCCCAGCACCACCTGAGTCCCATACGTCTATCTCCTTCCCAAACATGCAAACTGATGTCAAAATAACATAATATGAACTGATTTGTGCAAATGATTGCAACTACTTTATAATTAAACATCTAGGGAATTATATATGTGAAATAGATATCTCTGTACATACTAGAGATTTAATTACATCCTGGATTAAAAGACATTTTAAGCCAAGATTGAAAACAGATGCTCAATCACTTCAGGTTCCGACTGTTGCTTTGTAAGCAAGGGACACTGGATTCTGTGCCTTCAGCAATGTTTTCCCCCACCTCATTGTTTTTTGCCAAATACTCATTAAAGAAGAAACACAAAGAACTCCACTGTTAGAATTTTTGGGGGGGTTTCTTGAATGTTAGAAATCAAGAGGATTAGCAATGTTTGATTGGAAAATTTTCTTAAGCATTTACTCTCGTGATTTGTCTCTAATCTGGAAGGAAACAGCTGATTTACTAAATCACCATGTTACCTCTTATTCTTCTAGCTTGTGAAAACCCAGGGTCTGAAAATTAGACTGGTTTGTCTCACTTTTTATCTTTATGTTTTTAACTTTATACAAATGAGATAATAATGTGTGATGGGAAACTATTAGATATTCCTCCCCTTATTTTGCTTATGGGACAATGAGCCCACCCAAAAAAGGCATAAAAATGTATTTGCATATAAGTATACTAAAAATTCATGTTACTAGTCTGTTGACTTGATCATTATAGAAAACAGAAGTAATTTGAATTTCCCCGTCAGTCCAGGAATTAGAGAGATCCTTTGTTTAATTACACAACATACATGGATTGAGCCTCAGGCACTATGCTGAGGACTGGGTTATAATGGGGAACACAACAGATGCATCCTGGAGCCTTACAGTCTAGAAGGAAAGACAGATTTCAAACAAATCATTCTAAATAAATAATTAATTGCAACTGTGCAAGATTTCACAAAGAAGAACGAAGTATCTGAGAATCATATCATTGAGGGAGGCATATCATGCAAAGCTTCTGAGGTTAGAAAAACCTTGGCGCGTTCAGGGAACTGAAAAACTCCAATGCGGCTGCAACATAAAGAACAGAGATGTGTCTGGAGAGAGAGGCAGGGGTCAGATCACAGTGATCTGTTGGAATTGGATCCCGCAGACAATGAGAAGCAACTGAAGAGTTTTTACATTAACGAAAAATTGGAGATCAGCTTTATGTTTCAGGAAGATCATACCTAGAAGCAGTGTATAAACTAGTTCGGGTAAGCATTGATATGACTTGTGACAATGGTGTTACTGGAGAGCTTGTGAGGGATACAGAAAGTAAAACTGTCATCTCGGTAACTGATGGTGTATGAGGAGTAACGAGAAGCCTTTGGATTTGAGCAAGTGGGCAGACAGTAGTGTCTTATACAGAGACAGAAAATACTAGAAGAGGAGATTTTAGGGTGTATGTGAAGAGAAGATATCATGTGTTCTCTTTTGGAGTTACTAACTTACCGGTGACTGTAAAACATCTAAGCAGAATAAGCACTTATTTATAAGGGTATGATGATCAAAAGTAAGATCGAGGCTGGAGGTATTTGGTCGTCATTATGATAAAGAAGGCACAGGAGTGTTGAGGTCACTTAGGGAGACAGCGTGGTGTGACAGAACAGGATGACCATAGATCCCAGTTTGCCTGGGATGGTCCTAGTCAACACCCATTGCCTCGTCACAATCATTAATCATGTCCCTTGATATAGTTTGGATATGTATCCCCACCAAATCTCATGTTGAAATATAATCCCTAGTGCTGGCATTGGGGTCTGGTGGGAGGTGATTGGATCGTGGGGGCAGATCCCTCCTGCATGCTTGATGATAAGTGAGCTCTTGCTCTGAGTTCACATGAGATCTGGTTGTTTCAAAGTGTGTGGCATTTACATTTTCCTCCTCCCACTCTCTCTCTCTTTCTCTCTCGCTCCTACTTTTGCTATATGATGTGCCTGCTCTCCCTTCACCTTCTGTCATGACTGTAAGCTTCCTGAGGCCTCCCTAGAAGCCGAACAGATGCCAGCACCTTGCTGCCTATAAAGCCTGCAGAACAATAAGCCAACTGAACTTTTCTTTATATTAGTAAATTACCAGTCTCAGGTATATCTTTATAGCAATGCAAGAACAGCCTAACACAGAAAATTGGTACTGAGAAGTGGGGCATTGCCATAAAGATACCTGAAAATGTGGAAGCAGCTTTGGAACTGAGTAAAAGGCAGAGGTTGGAAGACCTTAGTAGGCTCAGAAGACAGGAATCTGAGGGAACATCTGGAATCTCTTAGAGACTGGTTAAGTGATTGTGACCAAAATGCCTTCACCTGCAAACCTCAAATCCCCAAGTGCACCCAGGCACAGACACCTGCTCACTTATATCCACAGGCAAAGAAAATTAAGGTAGCAAGGAGGCAAATCTACACAGTATTAATGAAGTTTTCTGTATAAAATTAAATGTAAGGCTTGAATAAGATGCAAATTCATGTTAAAAAGTAAAGCCATATGCCCGTTTAAAACATTCCCAGACATTTGCTTTTCCTTTATTTTTAATAAACATTTTACTTGGAAATTTTTTTTATTAATCAGCATAAATCCCTTGGAGGCAGAAAATGTTTCTTGCTTTACAAATGTTTCTTGCTTTACAAATCATATGGTATAAGACATTTCAAGGCCAGTGCAATGGCTCTAAATGCTTAAAGATTTTGCTCCTGGTGACAATATCGGAAATTGAAGATGGAGGGAGGAAAGTTCTATATTACAGGGGATGCTGAATATTTCATTTCTTTGGTCACATCTTCATAAAGACACCACTAGTAAGTAGTATGGCACAAGAGAAGGAGCTTTATACGGTGTACCTCCTAGTCAGAAAAAAAAAGGTTTCATATGCATTTTATTGCCACACAGAAAAAACGTTTTAAAGCAGTTCCTAATTTTCTGTGCCTGGTTATCAACACTGACCTATGTTTACCCTTGAGCTTTGTGCGTATGGGGTGGGAGACAAGGTTTCACTCTGTTGCCCAGGCTAGAGTGCTGTGGTGTAATCATGGCTCACTGCAACCTCGACCTTTCCGGGCTCCGGCGATGCTCCCACCTCAGTCTCCTGAGTAGCTCTGACTATAAGGCGCACATCTGCAGCTAATTTTTGCAGAGACAGAGTCTTGCTATGCTGCCCAGGCTGGTCTCAAACTCGGGCTCAAGTGAACCGCCCGCATCGGCCTCCCAAAGTGCTGGGGTTACAGGTGTGAGCCACAGCACCCAGCCAGGTGAAGAGATTTAATAATGGGAATAACTCCTTTATTTTTATCTTCATGTGTCCTGATTGAAACTTTCTGACTGTTTTCTGCATTATGTCCCACAAAAATGTGTCAAATTCAAAGATAAATCTGAGGCCTTAAGTACAATATTTCAACCACTAACATTCACGTGTGTTATGAGCCCTGAATAGGAATAAGATATCTTCAGAAATGTGGGTTGTACTTGGGATCTGCCTCACAAGAAGATTGCATGTGAAATTCTCTGAAGATCCCCTGTGATGCACAAGGCGGAAGAAACAGGTGTACACGAAGAATCAGAAGAACCAAAGCCCCAGGTGCGTGGTCTTTGATGTGAGAGATCTGCCATTCCCAAAGACATTCTTGTTTCTATTACATGTGGGTTAGCAAGCAGGACTTGGAGTGGGGGAGCCCTGGCAAGACAGTGAAAATCAGTCCCATTATCAGAGGTGAGACCCAGTACCGTAGAAATCTGTGCTCTTTCTTCTTAAAATGTGGGACTAGAATATTTAAGTAAACATGATATATTCTTACAGTGGAATATTGAGCATTTATTTCAATAATGTTTTAAATATCCATTGTCATCTCATTCTATAAGCACATCAGAAAACATGCACAGAAAAAAAAGACATCTACCACCGCTTTGTGTGTTCCAAGCTCCACTTTATGTGTAACTAGTTGTGGTTCGTTTTCTAGCCTTAGATATTTGTGTGGTTGTCTACTATGTGTTTATAAGAATCCCAGGACGGGCACAGTGACTCATGCCTGTAATCCCAGCACTTTGGGAGGCTGAGGCAGGTAGATCACTTGAGGCCAGGAGTTTGAGACCAGCCTGGGCAACATGGCTAAATTCTATCTCTACTAAAAATACAAAATTAGTTGGGCATGATGGCACATGCCTGTAGCCCCAGCTACTCAGCAGGCGGAGGCAGCAGAATGGTTTGAACCTGGGAGGTGGAAGTTGCAGTGAGCTATGATTGTGCCATTGCATTCCAGCCTGGGCAACAGAGTGAGACTCCATCTCAAAAAAAAAAAAAAAAAAATCCCTTTTCACCTAAACTTACCTTGCAATCTAACCATGACTAAGACATGGCATTCCTTACTTCTCAGTTTTCTTGCCCAGATAACTACAGTGGCTTCCAAGCAGCAGAGAGCAATGACCACCTTTGCCCCTTCATCCTCTTTTCTACTGCCAAGGTGATCTTTTTCCTATTATTCCTAGGGCATGCATTTTTTATTTATTTTTACTTATTTATTTATTTTGAGATGGAGTCTTGCTCTTGTCTCCCAGGCTGGAATGCAATGGTGCAATCTCAGCTCACTATAACCTCTGCTTCCTGGATTCAAACAATTCTCCTGCCTCAGCCTCCCAAGCAGCTGGGATTACAGGCATGTGCCACCATGCTCAGCTAATTTTTGTATTATTAGTAGAGCTGGGGTTTCACCATGTTGGCCAGGTTGGTCTCGAACTCCTGACATCAAGAGATCCGCCCGCCCTGGCCTCCCAAAGTTGGTGGATTACAGGCGTGAGTCACTGCACCCAACCAGGCGTGCATTTTAGCTCTAGAAATGGATTTAAAGCTGTGTTGTGTGCAGTTCCCCCACTGACCTATCCAAAAGAAACCATATGACTGCACCACCTGAAGCATCAAAGAGCTTTAGAGACCTCGGCAATAGGCTGGGGGGCGGATCTTCAGTGGAATGTCCTGTTATTGTCAGAGTAGTTCAGCTATCCTTTTCTGTCTACTTCTCTTCTTTCTACCAAATAATTTCCTTACCCTCTAACCTATATACATGGTTTCAAGTCCATGTTTTCCCACATGCTGGCTCTATAATCTTGGGCAAACTACTAAACCACTTTGTGTGTCATCTTTCCAAAGGTGAGATAGGAAAAACGTAAGATTATTGAAGGAGAACATGTTGGCTACTGTATTCCATCAATTCCCAAATGCACATTTTCGTTCACATTTTAATACCTCTGAAGTCGGGTTGCATTTTACAATTGCCGTCTGGCAGACAGGAGTCAAGTTGTGAGGTCGTTGTTACTGCCTGTCCATGTGCGAATGTGGTTGTTATTCCTGGCTGCATGACCGAACAACTGCAGCCTCTGCATGTTTGACTCAGGAAACTATTTAAGGACCATTTGAGGCAGGACTATGAGTCCTGGCTGCTGTCTGAAAACCTTTCATTGACACTTTTTGATAAGATCAAGAACATTCCAGTATCAAAACACAGAATAGGTTTTGGAAAAAATCCAGAGAACAATGATGCAGCACTCTTAAGAACTGCTACATCTTTTAAGAAATGCTGCCCAGAGCTCTTGATGGCCGTAGGATTATCTTGTATAGAAAAAAAAAAGCATTGATGTCTGAGTTAGAAAGTAATTCAGAAGAATCAGACTCTGAATGTGAAGTAGTTTCAGGGACCCTCATAAATTTATTTTTTACATTTTTCTTTTCAGGTGTGCACAAGAATGTTATATGACAAAATCTGTGCATAAATCAGCATTAAAAAGCCATTTTAATAAGATTTAATATAAAACTATAAGTGATAAGGAAGCATTGTGTCATGGATTAATTAGCAGCATTTAAAAAAAATTTCTTAGTAGTCCATTAAATGCATCATACAATTGAAATCTTAGATTTGATGAAATGTGGTATTTTGCCGGGCATGGTGGCTCACACCTGTAATCCCAGCAGCACTTTGGGAGGACAATGTGGGCAGATCATGAGGTCAGAAGTTTGAGACCAGCCTGACCAACATGGTGAAACCCCGTCTCTACTAAAAATATCAAAATTAGGCAGGTGTGGTGGTGCGCTCCTGTAATTCCAGCTACTCAGGAGGTTGAGGCACGAGAATTGCTTGAACCCGGGAGATGGAGGTTGCAGTGAGCTGAGATTGCACCACTGCACTCCAGCCTGGGTGACAGAGCAAGATTCCATCTCAAAAAAAGAAAGAAATGTGGTATTTTGGTTACTTTTTACCTAAGGATTTTTGTTTAGTCATCACTTACTGACTCATGGTCTCTTGTTGTCCTTCTCTTCCTGACTTTGAAGATTCTATTTCATAAAATAATGACTTTATTCTCTCCATAATTTCCAAACTGAACCAGCTTATTCTTTTTTTCTAAGAATGTCTTTTTTAGAGAGAGAGACAGAGAGAGACAGAGAGAGAGAGAGAGAGACAGAGAGAGAGAGAGACATCTTTAGGCCAGGCTGAGGCTGTGGATTGTGTCTTTAGATCTTGAGCATGAGCCCACCCCTATTCCAATCAACTGTGGGGGCAGTTATGAAGGCAAGAACGTGACTGCCTAGAGCTTGCCCATGAATTTGTCTTCATCTTTGTATCCCTAATACTTAGCACAGTACCACACCTAGTACTAATGCAGGGTTGTTAGACTGATGGATGTATGAACCAAATGATCTTGCAAGCAAGCGAATTCCATGACTGACTTACCCCACAGAGTTAGACAATGAATTGTAAAGTTTTAAATATTTTTTTTCAAATTACAATAGCATCCTTACCTTACTTGCTATTATAAATATTTGATCTCAATTTTCAATAAATGTAGTATTTGATATTTTTCATGGATTAAGGTTTTCTACTATCGATACATTCTTTTGGCTTGGGGAATTTTTCAGCAATCATTTTGATGATCTAATTGATTAAGGCTTTAATGGAACGTAAATACTGCTTGATATTTCTGTGCTATAGGAGCAAAATATAATCAACATTCCATTCCTTGAGTTGGCCAGACATAACTATAAAATATTAGTGATCTCTTAGGGCAGGGCACGGTGGCTTGCACCTGTAATCTCAGCACTTTGGGAGTCCGAGGCAGGCAGATCACAAGGTCAGGAGTTCTAGACCAGCCTGGCCAACATGGTGAAACCCCGTCTCTACTAAAAATACAAAAATTAGCTGGGCATGCTGGTGGGCACCTATAATCCCATCTACTCAGGAGGCTGAGGCAGGAGAATAGCATGAACCTGGGTGGCAGAGGTTCCAGGGAGCCGGATTGTGCCACTGTACTCCAGCCTGGGCAATAGAGCGAGACTCCTTCTCAAAAAAAAAAATAGTTATCTCTTATGAACACTTTTCTCCCTGAAAATGCATTTTTTTCTCCTCTTACTTCTTTCAAAATGGAACGGAAGTGAATGGAAGAGACTAGAAATGCCTCTAACTTTTCCGATGAATTCCTTCTTTTACTCTAAAGATGCATATCATTGAGAAAATTCTGATCCTCAAACTTTTTGGCATCAGGGACTGATTTTGTGGAAGACAATTTTTCCACGGACTGGGGTCAAGGAGGATGGTTTGAGAATGATTCAAGCACATTACTTTTATTGTGCACAATATTGCTATTATTATTACATTGTAACATATAATGACACAACTCACCATAATGTAAAATCAGTGGGAGCCCAGAGCTTGTTTTCCTGCAACTAGATGGTTCCATCTGGGGGTGATGGGAGACAGTGACAGATCATCAGGCATTAGTTTCTCATAAGGAGCGGGAAGCCTTGATCCCTCTCATGTGCAGTTCACAATAGGGTTTGCACTCCTATGGGAATCTAATGCCACAGCTGATCTGACAGGAGGTGAAACTCAGTTGGTAATGTGAGCAATGGAGAGCGGCTATAAATACAGATGAAGCTTCATGTTTGCTCATCGCTTACCTCCTGCTGTGCAGACCAGTTCCACCAGCATAGGTCAGTGGCCCAGGGGTGGGAACCCTGCTTTATATGTTTAACTTCCTTATGTGACTGGTTTCTTCCCAAACTAAGCCTCTTTAGGTATATTTTACCATTTTTTAAGGATCTGTTAAAACCTTACAGGCAAGATTTCAATCTATTGTCATTTCATCATTTGATGAAGGGGCATGGAGTGAATATTCAGACTTACCTTAGATCTGGCCCTTTCCCTCCTTTTCCACTGCCAACATCGTCCTGTCCAATTCTCTGCCACCCACTTGGATTATTATCCTCATCTCTAAGCCAGCTCCCTAATACCAGCCTCTCTTTGCTGCAATCTGCATAGTCGGATGAATCTTCTGAGAAGAGACCCTTTTATAACGTTAACTCATTGTACCAAAATTTTATTGTCCTTGGGATCAAGCCCAAATCCTCATATAGGCATTAAGGTCCCTCTGTAATTTGTCCTTAGCTTACTTATCTAGTTTTGACAAGAAATCTTCCCTTCCACTCATGCCAGTCTTGTAAACTGACCACAGTCATGATGTGCCTATCACCTATTTGCACCTTTCCATGTTTCCTTGTGTCATGCACTAAGGGTAGGCTGTCTTTTTCTTTCCCTC